TCTCAATTTACTTCAAGTTCCATCAAATGTCTCGATTCACATGAGTTTGTACTGATCGGCGTATCATCTTGCGCTGACCGCCCTCTGTCCGTTTTTTTCCCCTTGTCTCACTTTGTTCCTTTAGATTGAGTCGACGAACAGGACGTCTCGTCGATGCTCGTATCCGCTTTCTGCACCTCAATCGCTGCGTCATTTACGTTGCGGCCTGGTGTGCTTAACACTGACCGTATCTACCCACAGCACAAGATAATGCGATACGCGTTATCTTACAATCTCGGATATATCACAACATTTAGCTACGACGTCAGCCGTTCGCTTCATTTCTCTCACTCCTTCTCTCGATCGCTCCCGCAGTTTGAATGATCCCGTAGCGGTATTTTTATCTCGAATCTCGTTGTGAGTCACAATCCTTCGCCGCTCGACAGAAAGCCTATTCACAAACATTACCGACGTTGTTGACTAACATGCATGTGAGCTAACAGCGGTCGACATTTCGCATCTGGCTATAAAGTAGCCGTACCCATGCTACCGTCGTCTTGGTAGTTCGAGACTTATGACTGACGCTGGAAGCGTCGATGTCGACGCGCAGACCGGCTGACTTGCAAACGAGCGCGGCGATCGAACACACGGTGGCAGTAACGAAGCGAAGAACAAGTAGCAGTCTGTTACTGTTACATTAGTAACCAAAACAGTGAAGTCTCTGAAGATCTCTGGCTAGATAGCGTAGGCACAGATTGTATTCTCAGATACCTGGATTTGGTCAAATTAGTGAGTGTGCTGGTCACCGTTCGCTCGTTCACGCCAATCCTACTTACCGATGATATCATCGACATCGTGTAGGGACCTTCCTAATAGAAGTATTGGCAATAGCTGTATAGTAACTGAACCCACTTCTAACCCCCTTCAACCTTCGGCTCTTTTTCAAAAAGTGGGTTCTTCAGTGATATTTATCTCAACCATCTTAAGATATGTTTTCGTTGAGAGGATGACGTAGCGGTAGAAGCAGTGACTGCCGTCTAATGAGCGTCGCTACTAGGTAGACTTCTTGCGGGTGTTCACGGGGACCTGAAGTTAAATGACGGCCGTAATGGCTTATATATGTATATCAAAATGCATAGGATTAAAGATTCGAACATGCACTGTCTATACTTTTGTTTCAGCACGAATCTATACCATAATATCCACAGGATAGTGAGGGCGTAATGTTGACTTTTGGTGCAGAATAATCGACATGGTAGAGCCCGGTTCATGTGACAAACTGCTACACGGAAGCGAGTTCTGCCTTTAGACAACGAGGCAACGCACATATTGAAGACCGAAGTCTACACAGACAAAAGCTATGAATGGTCTTAACGTACCAAACCGGTGATGGACGTACTAATATTTTTGGGCAGTCTGTTCGAAACAGCGGCGCTATTCCTCGTGAATGGCAGTTTCATAGTAAGTGGCGATACGGATCAAGCGAAGTCCAGCCCCGAGGGCGGCACCAAGCTCTTTACGTTGGTATCTTGATCGGATAGAGCCAAAATCGAGTTGATATTGGTGTATTCAACCTACCCTCGGTCGCTTCTTCTTTGTCCCGTATCAATTAAAGAACCTTGTAAATAGAGTGGGTCATATTAGATCGTGCCAGCAGAAGAAATAGGTATGATCAATGTGGCGTGTTCGTCTGATGGTGATTCTGATGAAGGCACTTTGATTTCGCAACTGAGTATCTGACAGAATCATAGAATTGTAGGAGGATACCAGCGCAGAATATCACACCCATAAAGGTAACCGCTTCTGTTGGAAGACATTTTGGAAGGAAGTGATTGGCCGAACCAGCGAGTGGACGCCGCTGAGTACGAACTGACGTGACCATGAGTGACTTAAACTGGGCACTAATTAAACAATGAGAATACTTTTCGATACATCTGGAAAAAATTGATATTTTTCCTGAACAACATGAATATTTATATTTTTTATTTATTTGTTACTCATGAAAGTTAATCGAGCTACGACCATTTGTGATCACCTGCTGAGTCCTTGGATTTTCAACCTTCCGTTGTTATCGTTGTCGCCGTCGATTCAAACTATCACAGTACTGGATATTTGATAGTGGCGTCTTACGCTGGTAGCAGCGCTAGTCAGGTCGCGGGGTTACGAGTAACCCCAGGGAAGAAATGTCCGGTTTCGACGCTCACATCCGTCCAAGAATCACTTCTCTGATGTTCTTAACCAGTCATTATAACGATTTCCCATTCCCGCCCATATCATAATATCGCAATAATGTTTATCATCCGTTCAAGCTACTGTGCTCCTATCTAACTGCTGTAGCTCTTCTCACCCATTAAATACTAGATTTCCGAAGTTTCTCAATGTAAATATGTATTATATTAGAATGTGTGTGTGTGTGTGTATTTGTGTGTAGAAATGAGACCGTTATGATCATGGCCATTCAAATGTTGCACCCCAGTTTCTGTTGCTATTTTCGTGATTGTGAGATGTGTGTATGTTTTGTGTGTGTGTGTGTGTGTGTGTGTGTGTGTGTGTGTGCGTGTGAGCAAACAGAAGAGCGCATAATCTTTAGATATGGGATCGCTGCACCTGCGGCACGTTTGTATTGGCTAATAGGCCGGTAGTACGTCTCCGTATTTCTTAATCCTATCCACATCTTCCTAACTGTCAGATACGCTGTGGCTGATGCAGCACAAGGCTATCACAGAAGCAGAAGTTCAAGAAGTTCGCAGAATTCGTCTGTTTTGTCTCTCTTTTTGCTCTGCCGTTTGGATCAATCTGAATAGTCGGCTACGTAGCTTCCTAGCTAGTTGGCTTCCCGTGCCATTTCGGGGCACGAACTCGGTGACCCAAAACGTCATTCTCAATTTGGTGTTTGCCTTTTTCGTGTTTCGTCCTCTTCACTCCGTGTTACTTTAGCGTTCATCCATTTCGTCGATTCCGTCGGCGAACGGATAAACCAACGAACGTAGTCAACATATGAAGCAGTTGCCTTCATCCTGATCCTCCAAAGGCATCTATGTACTTGTACCTAATCGCTGACCTGACCGGCTGATGTCGGTCGCTTGGGTGTCGCGGCCCGACCGAGGTTCGTCGCGGGTTAGCGACGAGCTGATAAGGGACCTTAACGGACTCTCACGGATCCGTCTCCTGGACCTTCACAGGGCAGAGACGCATACACGCACGCACGCACGCACGCACGCACGTACGTACCTCTCTATATAACTATACGATATCAGTGAAAATACACTTTGTAGATGGAGCGTACTCAGCAACGGCTCCGTTTCTACGAGATTATGATGCCGCTTGTGAGTCTTTTTCTCCTCCTCTGTACTTCAATGCGAAGCGGATGGGAAGGCGCCAATTTCACGACAGAGTGAAAAAGACGATGTACATATAGAAATGGCGTTTGATGATGGCTAACGGCCACGCTGCTTTTCTATAGTACAGTAACTATGAATCGTTGCGGATGGAAGCTGTTCACACGCCAAGCGTTTCGGGCGCCGCCCGGGGCGAAGGTGAGTGATGTCGGATGAAATGACAGTTATCGAGTAGAGTGTAACGAGAATCTACAGCCACGAATCAATTGAGCATGGCCACATAACCCAAGATACATACGTTAAAATATAATGCGAGGGTGGAGGTTACAGGTCCGACGCCTATCGTGCCTTGACTGTGGGTTTAACCTAACCAATTCTGCCAAAGTGAAGCGGGCGCGTTCGTTTCGGATGTTGCTATCAGGTTATAAGCGCTGCTGCTGCTTCTACTGTTGTCGCATCGAATATCGATTAAAACCAGGAAAGCCGAGCAAAATTATCTTTTTTTAAGAAGGAGGAGTATCAAAAGACGACTTCCTAACAGCGAACGAACCAGTAATATATCGGAAATAAGTCTGAGGGTGTAAACTTCAGTGAACTTCAACGACTGCCAACACTAACGGCGAAAACAGCAGAAGCGGCGACGGAGACACTCGTTAGGACATTCATCCAGTTACTCGAAAACGGCCAACTCCTACATCTTCGTAGTCCATAGTTCTTGGTTCCGTAGTTAGTCGGACAATTGCTCCACCCTCAAACTCCCTCTTTTTTTTTTGTCTAGCTTCGCTTCTTACTACTGGCCTTCGCCATTTATTCGACTAGAACCATCGACAGACAAAGCCAATTGCGTGAAGTATTAGTCGTCTTCGTCATGTTCCTCATCTAACTTTTCGTTCGCTTCCTTGGTCATCGCTCCCACATCGTGGAGTAGCACCTCATTTGTAGAGTCGGCGAATCTGGAGGGCGCACAAAGTGCAAATTAGAAATAGAAAGGGGGCGGATTGATCAATATTTCTGTTTTTGCGTTTGCTCTAGTTTGTAGATGCAAGCGGATCGAGTCCTGCGTGATTGTTTGTACCTGTAACTGCTTGTGGACAGTTCCGCTCATAGCAAATGTGTGCCACATCTCTGCGTGCACACACAGTTCACTTTCGTTCGACCGACGACTGACTCTGATCCCATGGGCCGGCGAAACTGGCTACCGCCTTATACACCTGAAGCCGTTGGCGCAATTGAAGTTTCACGTATTGGAACTCTAAGAACAAAACCGGGGTCTCGGCTAAATAGTGATTAAAGGTCTGTATCAACTAATTATGCATGTATTTATGGTCTATAGGCCTGCGTAGCTAGCGGCTCTTAATGACTGTCGAACCCTGGAAACATATCATCGTTGCCATTGACTTTCAGGAGACAGCTAAATTTCTCGAATTCAAACTAAAAGCAGACTTCTCTAGTCGATATATGTTTATATACCTAACAATACCTAGGAAAGAATTAAGAATTTGCCGCGTCTAGGCTTAAGGCGCCTAAACCCTTGCTTAAAAAAGTTATCGATATGGCGCCATTTTGTGGTCTTGCTGATTCGGCATATTATTTTTGATTTTTGCCCATTATCTTCTTATGAGAACAATATATTATATGTCTATTAATACCGATTGCTATCAGTTATTATACATGAGAAGTTACCTGCAACTGAATGTATTACACAGTCTAAGTGGACTGCATTTCTCCATGTGATTGGGTCAGCTCGCACATCATCATTTTTCGTGCATGGTTTGCTATTATTGCACACGTATGCAATCTTTCGTACATCGTCCATACATCTTACGGTCCACTGCTTCTGAAACTATAAACCTGCAGCTATGAAACTACTCTCAGGCTCTTGTTTTGCCGAGTAGTACCACTGCTGCAACACTATATGACTCTCCTGAGAACGAACACGGCTACATGACTACATGTGGATATATAGATCCGTACACTTTAACGGTATTACCGGGAGAGAACAAAAATGACCAGTTCTTCTTCTTCAGTCAACGACAGGGCGGATAGATAAGTGTTAACAAGCATTTCTTTGCTTGTCGATGTCATCTCGTGTCGCTTGTATGCGAAAAGTAAAACTCGTCACGAAACGTACGATATTTTCTCAGCTGCGACTCTGTGTAGGATAGCCCTTTCTGTGTGTGAACCAAACGTAGTTTTTTGCCCAAAAGGCGGCGACGCATCAGGTCTAAGTTTTTCTGTCACTCTCACCTTCTATCAGCGCCGCTGAGCGGTACGTTGCCACAAATCCAGTCGACTCGCCACTCTAGTAAGCAGAAAACTGACTACTTTTGTAGAATTAGTGCATAAGACAGGGAGGAGTCCGCTAAGCGTAGGGTCTATAAAAGGAGGAAACGAAAATCAAGTCTTCATGTAGAAGTGAATGGCGGGATCAAGAGCTGGTGTCCGTAGCGCTATTACAATGTGATTGTATTTTGCTAACGCTAAGCGCACTAATCATTACTACGTACCTAGTGCACGGTAGATACATATGCACATATATCAATGCTTGCCATGTTTTTAACCGCAATCCGAAGTTCTCACGTGTTCTCAAGAAAACCTTCTTCGCTGTTCGTCGATTCTATTGTCTTATTTCGTTCACCAACGCACCCTCTCATCAGCCGGCGGCACCCTGCGCCCCTGAGGGGGCGCTGTCACAGGCCTGCCGCGGAGCTCCGTAAGACTTCAATGGGCGGGTGGAGGAAAGCGACTGTTCTTTCGAGCCGATGACGAGAGAATCCGAGAACCTTCTGCGTGCATCTGCCTATGAGTGCGTTTGCACCCCCCAAGGCGCACCGGCAACGGTGGAGGTGGTTTGTACAGATCCTCTTTGTAGAGAGTTGTTGATTTTCTCCCGGCCTCTCTAGCGGCGGCGGCTGCCACCGAAGCTTCTACTGTAGTGTACCTCAATATCTGAAGTGAATCAACGAAACACAGCATTACAGAAGGCGCCGCAGAAAAAAGCCTGAGTTGCTGAGCATCGTTTGAGTTGAGGGGCCACGGGCGTTTCCGGTGTGCGGGCCACTCATGTTGCTCTGAACGGCGCCTATCGCTCGACGCCATTCAGAAGACTGCGCGTATACACATAGACAAAGAAGTCCCACAGGCCTCGGCGAAACACAGATATCCCATCTATTTGTTGGTGCATGCCGATAACGCTTCAGTAAGGATAGGTGTACGCTATGGGCCATAGAAGACGGCGAGGCGGAGGAGAGAGGCGTCTCGGGCGACGCAACGCTTATGCAACTTAACGGGTTAGAGTGCTCATGCTTCTAGCGCCGCTGGTCGGATCTTCTATCAAATCCGTGCTTCGTTCTCAGGCTGTCGTGAACTTCGTCTAAGAAAAGGGTGACGCAAGTATAGGGACTGATACAGCTTGTCGGAAACAACAACTTGTATTTAAAGGGTCGCTGAATTTTCTTTTGCGCGTGTCTAGGGACGATTGCAGTTTCGATTCGATTATGAGCATTAAATGGGTCGAATTTCTTAGCGGGCATTTTTGGTTGCTATGGGTTAGTATTGGTAGTACAAGGGCATCCATGAATAGGGCGACAGACTCTCAATGCCTTGATCAATAATTTTCTTCATCTTTGTAATAGTTCCGTAATTTCTGAAGATTCAAACCGTTGGCTACTTACTTCCCGAATGTGCCATGTATCATTACTACGTTGAGCCTAAATCATTCCACACATCTGCATCATTTGCACAACATGGCGGCATATTTAGGAGTACCCTCTTCTAAGACCACTAGCAAGTAATGTGTCCTCGAACATTGAGTGAAAGGGGTTTGTAATATCTGCGCGTATGTTTCTGTTTGGCATGGTGTTTCTACGAGTCCCAAGGTGGGACCATGGGAGAAATTGTGAGAGCGGGGCCCCACTTCGTGAGAGGAGCTAGTGACGAAGGCGCCAAAGTCCCGCTTGCCTACTAACTAGTCGAGGACTCTAAGCAGTGCCAATCTCCGGTAGCCAAGCTAAGTTAACATGACTGTACGCGAGTTTTACATGCAGTCGAACTCGTAACGAGTCCAGGAAAAGTATTCAACATTGGGAGACGTCTAGTGTTTTTTTTTCGTAGTCACTTGACAACAAGTTCCAATACCGCCATCACTACCTTCAGCACCACCGCCACGAACGGCGGCTTTTCATTTACGAAAAATCGCAGATCAAGAACGTCGTCCTTCGCGGCGAAACCCGGAGTTTAAAGCGTACAGCTGACCGGCAGCTGGAAATCTGGCTGCGAACGCGGTGCCGCATCAACAGTAGCTGGTGCCCTGGGAACCAGCAACGTTTAGCAAACATTGCTACATATCGGTGCTAGCTTGGCTGTCTTGCTCCACCTTCCTTAGGGCGGTTCGTCGGTCGATCGATCGTCTGTAACAAACTCCTCATGTGCTCTTCACGACGACTTGCTTACCCCGCTCACAAAAGGACAGCTGAGGATTGGGTTTGGGACTTATTTGAACAGGAAAGCGAGATCCAATTGAATCTGGGTGTGCGCCTACGTGTGGGACTGGCATAATTTGAAAAGATGCTTCTATTGAGTAGGACCGCAACCGTTCTTATACCAAAAGTACCGCAGAAATATGCACAACCGCGTTGTTATTGATAATGACGACGACTGTATTCGCGATGATGGCAACGAGGACGATCAATTCGTAGGAACCGATTGTCGTCTGTAACCTGCTAGAAATGGTAACAGCAAAACACAGTTTAATAAAGAAAAAAAAAAGGAAAAAGTCAGTGATGGTGGCTGCAGCAGCTGCAGCAGCAGCAGCAGCAGCAGCAGCAGCAGCGGCAGCGGGCGTGCATTACGCACTAAGGGAGGCCTTTGAACAAAGAATCGGCGGGCTCTTCTTCAGTAAACGGGTTGAAGCCATCAGTCTGAAAGGAGAAACAGTGAGCCGCTGAAAAAGCAACTAAACTGAAACAGCCTCATAGGCACCCATACCACCGTAACCGCAATCACCCTCGAGTTGCATTAACATGGAAATAGGAGGTAAAAAAAAAAAGAAGTAAAGTTGTTATTGTATACCAAAAAGGCTTAACATGGCTGCAATTCAGAACCTTGTACCTTAAATTTAGGTAAAAATGATTCGCTGTTTCCCAAACGCCAACTTCCGGCTCAACAGTTTGTTGAATCTTTTTGCTGACTCATTGAAAAAGTACGGAACAAAAACCGAAACATCTATTCTTATGCTTAGGTATAGGCCATTTTTATCAGTGATCTTCTGGAAACATCATCGTCCTCTCACTGTATAACTTTTACAATTTTTTCGGCATAATTTTTGACGCTGAGTTCTACGAAGACCGAGCTCTATATATATATATGATAGTCTGATAGTGCAAGATACGGGTTATATGGCGGATGCATTAAAATTTCCTATCGAACCTTTGTCAATTTTTCACAGCTAGCTAAAAATGCATTCTTATTTGGAATAGTCGTGGCGGAAGATGACATATTTTCCACCCGTTAGTTTCTATAGATTATCTTCAATGACTTGTTAAGATCTCGTTGGCTGGCTATTGACAACAGGGGGTCCAGATCAATCGCTTTGCTAAGCGGAAGTAACTCGTAATACATCATGTTGTTCAGTCCCACCTTCTTCGGTGTCAGTGTCGAGCTGACTTTTTTTTTCAGTTCCTTATCATATGTAATCTATTTTTTTTATCTCTCATCATCAACCTCTCTAGAGACAGCTCGATTTGACTGCACTTGTGTAGGGCTTATCGAGTTAATTTTTTGGCGCCGGTTCGTATGATATCCTAATATGGAGCATTTTTTGTAACCACCTTTTCAAATAGTTTTGTGATTTTCAAATAGGCAATATAGGAGTTAGGACATCGCCAGTATTATGATATCTCTCGTGTCGGTTTTGACTATGATCGACCACTATGAGGAATATCTCTCACATCAATCTCAGTCACAATCGCCTTTGAACCATTTCGTCGAATCTCGACCTTGCGCAGAATTAATTTTTTTTTATGGGCCTAAACGGCACCTGTACCTTTATCGTAGCAAAATTTGAAAATAAAGCAGATTTCTGTAGAAAATCCACCCATCCTGAAAGAGCTTAGGTCATCTCAAGGCTAAATAAAAATATTTCAATAAGTTTTGTACATCTTCTGTAAAGTCTCAGTTTTTAAAACGACACCCGACGCAACTCATATCAGTTACTATACCCATATACATATATACTATATATATATA